CTCTCTGATGTTGTGGACGAACCGTCGTTTTTAAGAGCTCATTTATTTTCATGATGATTGGGGGGGGGGGGGGTATTTTTAGCTGCAGGAGTAAGATGAAACAGCTGATAACAAGATGTCACCTGCTTCTCCTTCCTGGGTTTGTTTTGATTTGTCAGGATCTGGGTGAGGGGGCGTGGCTCACAGGAAATCAGGTTCACCCCCATAAACAAACAAATGGTAAACACCCCCCCACCCCCCTTCACTGCATGGCCTCTAAGCCATTTTTGGTCAGCTGGGGGTGAGGAGGAAAAGGGGGGAGGAGAAGTGGTCCCCTATTTTCTGCCTGTCGAATCAGGACACAGTCAGCGAGCTCCGGCGGGTCCAGGTCTGGCCGGATGGACTAATGCGATGTGGCGTGTCACCCGGAGAATCTAGGTCAAGTTTAAAGCTGCCTAGCTCTACCCGCTGCTGCCGCAGTGTGACACCCCCCCCCCACACACACACACACACACACACACAACACACCCTCACCTGCATTATGCTCAATCTTAATATTCCTTTCAGCTCCATATCAACTACTTCCGTCCACATCAGTTCAGACATTAAAACACACAGACGGCTGCCAAGCCCCCCCCCCCCCCCCAACACACACACACACACACACACACACAGACCGCAGGCAGACTGTCCACGGCGGAGCCCACGTGACATGGCTGGGGAAGGAAAGGAAGGGAGGGAGGGCGTTGTTTCCCATTTTTCCTCCCCCTCCGTAGTAAAGCAGCGGGGCACGTGTATCCTCACGCTGCAGCTGAGTAGTGGAATGTCAGCACTATCCCTGTCTCTCCTCAGACGGCCCCCCGAGCCGTTTCTGCTGCCGCAGCGCTCGGTTTCAGCTGCTGGCTGTGTTTATTAAAGGAGAGGAAAGAGAGCATGAAGAGGTTGGGAGGGAGAGCCATGTAGGGGTCAGGCTGCGGCATGGGCGTGGCTCTGGACCCGAGGATCCCACCTGAGCTCTGTCACAAACAAAATCCTCAGATTTATTATTATTGGTTGTAATTATTGAATGTGAATTTGCTGAGCTGCTCTGATCAAATCGCTAAGTGCTCACTAGTGGAATTAAATGTCTGCGGCTGACTTTTCCTCCCCTCCTAATCCGTTGCTTTTTTGGCACATTACCTCATCTCTATTAATGTATTCATGTGCTCTCAGTTCCCTACTACTACTGTACTCGCTCGGCGCTCGTCTCTGATTGGCTGCTGCTGTGCTTCTTTCAATGACTCCAAATTTTTTTTTTGACTCCATGGATACAGCGAGCTGTTGGGTAGATGGGCTCAGCCAATGGGAGTGCTGCACGGGCTCCAGCCTGTCAGATTCTGCCCCTGGCCTTAGAAGCAACACCCCCCCTCCCCTCTCTTACTCACTGCAAAGCACGCGATGGCACAGTGGGGGGGTTCAAAACAACAACAAGGCTGTCGCCGCAACACGCCAGCACTTCTGTCCCAACTCAGCCTAACTTTGACTCCTCATAAGTGGCTCTCTGAAGCTCAGAGAAGAGTCTCTAAACTGCAAAGTCAGTCTTTGCTACTCTGAAGTTTATGTGATTAGAAACTGGTGGAATTCATGTGTTCATTTGAGGCGTAAAATGCTCAAAATGACTTTGAAGCGCAGCCTCATAAATCCCCGTCCTTAAAATGACCTCATTTCCAAGAGAACGCGGGGGAGCGGAGTTGGTGCCCCGCCAGCCAACTCTTGAGAGGTGGCAGCAGAGGACCGGAGGAAGGCTGGTGATGGAGGGCTGCAGCATCCAGCAGGGCGATGGTCGGTGACAGCTCTCATCCTCGTCTGAGGCTGCATCAGGTGCAGCTCTATGACAGCCAGCGAGGTGCCGGCGCAGTCAGACATTCAGGTCACATTAGTGAAGGGTAACGGGACGGGGCCGGGCCGGGCAGGTGGCCAGAGAGTCGGGAGGCTAAATTTCAACGTAAAAGGTTTGCTTTGAAGCGTAGACGAAAGAAAAGTTCCATGGAACAGACAAGTTTATTATCTCAGAGGGAATACACCATGGATCTTGATCCTTAGACCAGGAAGTTAGTTTTAATGTTCCTGGCAGGAATGTGAGTTCATTCCCACCTTTTCTGCACAGCTGTTTGGCTGTCCGTCACCGCCTCTAACTAAAAAGAAAAACTACTTGCTGCTGTGGGATTGTATCTTGCATCTAAGTGGATATCAAGTTTTTCATTTCAACCCAAAGGTTAAATCTAACAAGTATGACCCGATTTCTACTACTGTTAGGTTAGTGTTTATGACTACAACACATCTTCATCAGTCGGCCACTAACCGTCCTGATTTATTCCAAACTAATAACTAATAAATTAGTCTTTGATGTGGCGAGAAAAAAAGATGGTCACCTTTTAATGTTTTGGAGTTGTTTGAACAGATTTGTGTTTTAAGGTGGAACTAAAGCGAGCGGACCCACCAGCAGGTTTTAGGGTTTTATGGGTCCATCAGCCCCTCCCTGAGCACTCATGCATGTTAACCGTCCTCTGCTGACTCTGAGCTTTACTCCCCATCATCCATCACCTGCCTTGAAGTGATTTACCCTGTCACCATCAGCCCCCACGTAGTCCTCTAGGCTCTTTTCCTGTCACTCATCTCAGGTAAGCATTCCACTGCCCCCCCCCCCCCCCCCCCCCCCCCTTCTCTGAGCTCTTTCTGTCCATCTCCACTCGTGTCAGGTAGGGTTAAATCTGTCAGGCGCCGTTTCTCCTGAACAAACTGCTGCAGACTTGTCAAACATCTGTTGACTTTTGCTTCTGAGAAACATCAGTTCAGCTCTTTGAAGGATTGACTGAGCGTAGATCAGAACCAGGCTGTCGCTTTGAGTCGCACAACCCCAGCTGAGCTACACATGGAGGTTACGTAAACCTTGTACCATCCAGTCATCCGCTGTTAAACCAACTACGAAACGTCTAATCATATAGAACAAACAAACCCTTAAAGACCAAGTCACCCCCAACTCACATTTTTTTGCTGATAAACTATATAAAGCAGTGTCTAATCATGCTACAGACACATGTAGTCAATAATTTGGCACTTCAGTGCATCTTGGTTAAGATTCATATATTCTGCCTAAAACTGGCAGTGTTGTGCCGTCGTCAGGGAAAAATTCTGCACTGTATTTGAATTTAAATCTGCCACCGCTATTGGTTAAGAGGTATGCTATGATGTCATCTGGTACATTATGATGTCAGAATGCCATTGTGAGCCTGTGTGTGTATTTGTTAGCGGCTCCGCCCTCTCGGTCTGCCAAGCAACAGCATTTGTTGCATTTTTCAAACATGAAGTGGGAGTGAAGTAAGTTTCTTGTAGGGGGTGACTTGCTCTTTAAGTAAAGCTGGTCATGGATTAAGGCTGAGGCATTTAACCCACCTTGCCTGCTGGTGGTGGTCGGAGGGATGTCAGCATGCCCCACCCAGGGCAGCTGTGGCTACACTGTAGTTCATCACCACCAGGGTGTGAGTGTGTGTGTGTGTGTGTGTGAGTGGGTGAATGAAGCACTGACTGTAGAGTAAAGAGCTTTGGAGTCCTCTGACTCTGAAAAAGCGCTACACATGTGCGGGTCATTAATCATTTATCAAAACGTCCACACCACATCAGCATCTTTTAGCAGCACTTGTTCTTTTTACATTACACATCATTTGAAAGCTAAGCTTCTTATGATTCCAGTGATGTATTACAATCACAGAGTCTGCCATAACTGTAGACACAGTTTAGTCCAAACACTCGATGATCCAAAACTCACCGCTCGAAGACTTGTATCATTGACGAACAGAGCCGTCTCCTGACAGCGTGGTCTTTTTACATCCAAAAGTCCAAATAGTTGATCCACAAAAAGTCGTACGTTCACAAAACGGTCATAATTTCATTTTGGATGCGCCTCTCTTAAAGCCTGCTTGCAGATTTCTAAAAATCAATCGTAAGGAGGAAAACTCCAGATTGCTGCTTTATCAGGTTTTAGAATGTCGTGATTCATTTTATCACCAAAAATCATTTTCTGTATAGGCTCAAATTGAACTATAAGAATCATACATTTCAAAATTATCTGTATTTTATTTCATAGGAGTTATGACAATCACACCTTAATGCTTTTATTTGTTTTAGGTTTAATTTCCATGTATTTGTGCTTGTCTTTAATAACAAAGCAAAAAAATAGTTTTTCATGAATTGCCGCTGACGGTTAATCGAATCTAATGTATATTAGTATAAAACCCTAAATGTTCTTCATCAGAAAAGCTCCAGAGACTATTTTAGGTTTGCTTTAGTGTAGCTTGAACCGGATCAGCTGTTTTCATCCCTCCGACTGATCCCGTCTAAGATCACAGCGCAGCTCCCTGATACGGTCAGATCGGTGCACGAGGCCGTGTGTGGGCCGTGAGGGTGACTGTGGTTCGTGAACACTCAAGTCAACTGGAACTGGATCAGATGTTTTAGGAGAGGAGCTAAAGCTGCACCTTTCACTCAGGGCGTCCAAAAAGCTGCAGCTTTCTGTGATATTTCTGCAGAAATGAACACCGTTGCTACATCACATCCGCGTTCACTCCTCAGGCGTGTTTCAGAGCATAAAAGATGGATTATTTAGCGTCCGACCGATTGGATGTGCAGCTGTGGAGCAAACGGCTGAGCGGTTCACGTGTGAACGGAGATCCCTGTGGAGGTCGCTGAGTTTACACGTAGCTGCCCGTAAATGCTTTTCAAGTGCTGGGAAGAGAAAAAACCAACCTCTGTTTTAATTTTACTTTATTTTTGGGACGGTCTGGTTTGACATCTGGCTGAGAGCAGGAAACGCAGTTCATGGGTCTGAGGGGAGCGGATGGTGCTGCGATCACATCTGCGGAGCCTCTGGGGTCAGGAGCAGCGAAGCAGAGCTGGAGCGAGGTGCCACGGATGCAGCAGAGCATCGACACCTGCTCCTTTCACTGCTCCACTCGTTCACCGATTTCACTTCTCTCCCTCAACAGGTATCCTAAAATGGGGAACCTACTGAAAGTTTTGACATGCACAGATCTGGAACAGGAGCCCAATTTCTTCCTCGACTTTGAAAGTGAGTTCCTCTGCAGCTTGTTCTGTCATCGGTGTCATGAATGTCTCTCCATCACAACTCTGAACTCTTCAAACCTTTTCTCCTTAATTTATCTGCGACGTTACGTCCTCCCAGCGGCGAGAGAAACAGAAGCCGAAGCTCCTGCACTTTTTCACCAACCTGCCTTTTTCCACTGCAGAGTGTGTGTAGAATATCAATCGGAGCAGAGCATAGCTGCAACACACACACGCACACACACAGAGCACAGAGGTTCAGCTGCGGCGTAGCCTAAGGCCCCTCGGCGCGGCTCGAACCTACGCTGCACTCTTCTCACACTTGGCAAACGCAGAAACTCAAGAATACTTTGACAGAAAGGCTCTTTCATTTTTAAAGAACATCACATTTTTAAAAAGATTTAACACTCAGGATGCAGTTAGCCCTCAGATAAGCTCACACCGTGTGATTTAAGTCGTGTTTCATGTCCACAAAGCAGATTTTAAAACGATTCTGAAACCGACTCCGTCTGAGCCACAGGGCGAACAAACACCTCTTCATTTGTCTTGTCTTATCTCCTTCCATTTCCTTTCTCCTCAGCCAGAAAAGTGGGCGGCGTCAGAAACTAATGGGAAGCCGTGGAGAGACGAGATTATTTCCACCAACTCTCATTTACATAATCTAAAGTTGTTTATTAAACTTAGCTCCATATCGGAGGATTTGATGGATTTCCTAGAGCTGCCTTTTACTTTGTGTCGGGTGGGTGTGAATACGGATTAGATTCCAGTCTGATTAAGAATTTTTTTTCTCCCTGCTGTTGAAATTTCACAGATGCACAACCCACAGAGGCAGAGCGGGAGGTGTGGGAGCAGGTGGATGTGGTGCTGAAGGATGCAAAGGGGATCCTGGACGAGCTGCAGGCCTATAAAGGAGCAGGACAGGAGATCAGAGATGTACGAACGACACCAGAATCCACAAAAACACACGACTGCTGGACATGAACGTTTAAAAAAACGACAATGCACAAAGTTTACACACGTTGCTTCACTCTTTATGGTTCCTAATGTCATAAACCAGTTAAAGAAGCACCACTCATCTTCTTTATAAACAGATTTAAGCCTCATTTGGAAGGATTTTTGGGTTTTAAATCATTCCTATCTTTTTCTTTTTTTAGACAGCTTCAAGATCAGCCTCAGTGCAGAGAAATGGAGTTTACATCCTTTAGGACTGATCAGCTAACGGCTAGTCCGGGTTTCTGCCATCGTTAAACAACTTCTGTTTTCTGCATTTTATAGCATTTAATGCAAAATGGCCGTGGTTCTTTTGTACTGTAGTGCCACTATTCACCTCCTGACCCAAAGTTTTATTTTAATATTTTTATAGATATTTCAGGTTCGTCAGACCCCATAAACATGAAAACATATTTGTAGCTCTAAATTAAACAAAATGGTGTCAACAAATGTCCTAAAATATATAGCTAGAAATAAAAAATTTAACCCTTTGATGCATGAATTATGAAATCTTCAACCATGATTTTTTAAACTATTTATTTCATTCATCTTTAGGTGTGAATGAAACAAATTTCAACAAATATTTTTTGTAACATTTTGTTAATTTACAAATAATTTATTACATGTCCATCTCAGTGGACAGTGTGCATTCTGAACATGAAATATGTTGGCTTGACTTGCTGAAGCCCAAATGGAGGGGCTCACTTGCAATAAAGTCTTCAACGGCTGTGCTCAATAGCAAAAATAAATAAATAACAATTTTGAGTACCTGTCCACTGTAGTGACCATTATGCATCAAAGGGTTAAATCAAAATCAAGTGTCTCTAAATAATAAAAACGGGTCTAAGTTGAAGAGAATGCGGTATTATAGTCCTCTTAAGAGGACACAGTGTCAGGAGTTTGGTTTATTAACCAGAATGCATTTGATTTGAGCCCGGGAGTCGGAAGGATTGAATTCCAAGCTAGAATAAATATCTGAGTGGATGTGAACAGAGCCTGAGTTTACAGATCTCGTGTTGTTTTCCAGGCGATCCAGAATCCCAACGATGAGGCCTTACAGGAGCAGGCGTGGGCGGCTGTGGTTCCCTTAGTGGGAAAACTGAAGAAGTTCTACGAGTTCTCTCAGAGATTAGGTATGGAAACCTTGTATTCATGCCTCTGGTGTTGGGGAGAAATAAAATACATGTCTCTGTTGAAGCTGACACAGATTCTGTGGAACAGGTTTAGGAATCCTGGGAAATTTTCCTAACAGACATGAATGTATTCAAACATCTTTACATTTAACCCTTCCTCCCATGATGCTTTGCATTCATCAGCATGCTGCTGGCGTTGCACTGACCCCTGAGTATGTGTGTGTCTTGGGGGGGGGGGGGGGGGGGTCTTCTTATGACCCTGGTTCTGGGGGGGTGTCGTCATGCATCAGTACCATGACCCTGTGGTCTCTGTGATGGAGGATGTGGTCACTGGGGGTGGGGCTGTTATGTAATGAAGTAGGTCATCCGTCCGCATCTTCTGCTGCTCTAATTCACCCTCTTGACTTTTGGCTCCAGGGGCCGCGTTGGCCCGCCGTCTTGACTTAAACACGGAGCTGAGCGTCAACTACGGAGCGGGGTCTCAGAGCAGAGGAGCTTATGTAATAATAATAAAAATAATGATCATTAGTATTATTATTATTATTATTAGGTTTAAGAGGTTGAGAGGAGCCAGTTGAGGTGGCTTGGGCATCTGGTCAGGATGCCTCCTAGGTGAGGTTTTCCGGGCCCGTCCAACTGGGAGGAGATCCAAGGGAAGACCCAGGACACGCTGGAGGGACTATGTCTCTTAGATGGCCAGGGAATGCCTCGGGAGTCCCCCGGACAAGCTGGCTCAAATAGCTGGGGTGAGGGAAGTCTGGGCGTCCCGGTTTAGGCTACTGCCCCCGCGAACCGACTCTGCATAAGAGATGGATGGATGGATGGATGGATGGTTTAAGAGGTCACAGATTTTCACACAAACTTAAAGATTAGCAGCAGAGATGCCACTCAGGCAGGAAAACCCTCTTAAAATATTTAATTGGTGTTTTCATTCAGAACCTAAAAGTAATATTAGATTTTGTGAAATTGATAGAATTTGTATTAAAACAGGAGTTTCCTACAGATGCAGCTTCATTAATGTTGCTGATGTAATTAGCCCATTATATCTATCCCATTATGTGTTACTGTTTAGCTTAACTACATCAAAGTTAAATCAAAGTCCCAGATGATCAGAAAATCCTCTAAAAAGTAACACGGAGCAGCCTCCATAAAGTGAAAATATGAAATTTAAAATAAAAACTGTTGAAATGTATAACTCCTTAAGATGGAAACACACAATCTTGCAGTTTTTTTCTTTAAAAGTAAAGTTTATCACTTGTGTTAATGTTTTGGAGCCATATTTGTTTGATATTCATTTAATTCTTTCGGCCTCACTTTGAGTTGATCTGTTTTTATAAACTAATTTGTTACACTGTCAGAAATTTTATTTATCTGTTTGAAGTAATAAAAAAAACAGCAGAATAATTATTTTATTCTTTAAATGTTTTTCTTTTTTGTTTGAAAACACTCGGCATTGTTTGAAAAGTGCTAAAAATTATTGTAAAGTGGCTTCGAGAGTCCCACGACCCTGCCAAGGTGCTTGACCTGAATCATAAAACACAACGTAAACAAACAATTTATTTTTTTTTGGGTGTGAATAACGTTTTGTCTGATCTGTTCAGCTGGCAGAAACCCAGTTAGAATTTGGAGCAGACAGAAACATGGATCAGAGCCCCAGTCATCAGGGGTGTGTGTTGGCAAGAATTTGGCGATACGATATTTATCTCAGTACAGGAGAGACGATACGATGTCTATCACAATACAGGGCAGACGATACAATACAGGGCAGACGGTAATGCTAAAAACCAGACGATATTTGCAACTTTTAAGACTGGAGTTCATTGAAAAACTCAGACCAGTAAACATTTGCATGCAAGTTTTCAAATAAATTTGACACACTGCTTTTAAAAATCAATTCAGTATCATAACAAAAATATTATGATATTTTGGTGTATGGATATTTTCTTACATGACCAGTCATCAGATTGTAGCACCAGAACCAACTATCCTCTCCGTACGTAAACACGCCCAGGCTCTGCTCTCCTGAGGAGGTGGGACATCCTTCCTCACCTTGCCGTGCCCAGCACAGCGCTGCCTTTCTGCTCAGCTCTAACTTCTGTTTTGACTGGGTTGTAGACGTGGGGGGAGGGGGGTAAAACCGCACAACTAAGGCCATTTTTAATCAGCTGCTCTGCTTCAAATGCTGGCTCAAGCAGATGGGAGTCATTACCGAAAGGCAGACGTGCTCAATTTACCGCGCTGCACCGCCAGCTCTATGTCCATCTCCTAAAAGTCCTCCTACGGCTCAACTTAAGTGGACTCCCGTCTGAATCTGGATCATGTTGACATTCGTATCATCATCTGTAATCAGCGAGAGCTGTAAAATACACTTGGAATGAATCAGTTTAAATTGAATTTGCTGCCACAGAGCTCAGTGCATCAGATACTCGGCTTGTCTGGGTCGGATCATCGCTGAAGCCCGTCTCATGGAGACTGAACCCAAAAGCACCGTCTGCATCTATAAATAAAACTCCCTCTAGGCTCCAAAGGTTTTCTAGTGGAGTGTTTGAAGAAGCCATGTTTGTTTTTTAAGATGATTTCCCTGGAAGTTCTGGGCTGCTTTTCTCTCTTTGTGTTCCTCGTTCTGCTGCTGGTCCTCCGTGGTTGTCCGTGCATGGGTATGTGATTTCAGGGCTTTGTGTTTACTTACTGTCAAAACAATGAGTGTAATCCTGCCCCAATGAACCCCCACCCCCCTTTACACGTCCATGCCAATAAGATAATTAGTCCCATGTCTCATCTGCATCTGAACAGGAGAGCCTCTCAGACCCAGAAACTGGCACTGGCCCCTGGGCGGTTTGGGCACCACCGCTGTCCCTTTATCTGTCTCCGTCCTAATCAGGATGCTTCAGCTGGCTGACACTCATTCACAGATCTAACCAGGGCTCTGATCCGCTCCGACACTTGTTTCTTGACCTCGTGTAAAGAAAGAGAACCAACCGTCCTTTAAAGATTCCACTTCTGAATCCTACGAGTACTTGTTGCTGGTTTTAAACCCTCATTTTTGTGGGATTGAAACAAATTAGGTCAAACTTCCCTTTGTAAACGACTTGTCTGCAGCTAATGCTTGTCTGCCATAAATCAATTATCACTCTAAACGGTTTGGTTTAAATTGGGTGATCATTTCTATGAGATTTATTCTCAATTCTGTTACACGTCGAATTCTATTTTCTTTGTTCTCTAATCTCCAGTTAGTCGTAGCTTTGTTTCATATGTCGTCAACCCTTCCAAAGTCGCTGGGAAGAAAGGAAACTGAAAATAAGAAAAATTAGCATAAGTCCAAAAGAAACTCAACCATTTTTCTTTCTATTTTCTCTGAGTGCGGCTCTGGTTTTGGTTGTTTTTTCTGAGCAGTTTACCGCCAAATGAAATGACCTCTTGAATTTTTCGACCATTTTTTAAAAAAATCCTTCAACTCCTTTCCTGAGATTCACACAAACGATTAAAGCCTACTCCTCTGCTCACACTCTCAGGGCCGGCCCAAGCCTTTGTGGGGTCCTAAGCAGGTGTTCCTTTGGTGCTCCCATGCAACACCAGACAATTGCAAGTCTACACTGTGTGTAACATTCCTATTATCATAGCGTCATTTATAATTATCTTACTGGTATTATTACGACTTTTAATCATCCATCCATCCATCGCCACTTAAAAAAGCCACAGAAAAACACAAAGTTTACAGTAAACAAATAAGATTTACTATATTTTATTCGTAAAATTTAGAACTGATATGCAAAATGTGCAATCACTACAAAATAAAATGAAAGTAAACTTTAGGCAATAAGGTTTTCCATGTGTAATATAATTTAGTTTGTGTTGTTTAAAGTTATTAAACATTAAAAACTTTTTTCCTTGTGCTATCTTGGTGCTCTTGGGCACCCCCGGTGGTGTGGGAGCACCAAGCAGACTACCTTAGCACAATCTTGATATATATATATATTTTTTAAGCATGAAAAATCGAATTACAGCAGAAATTTACATTAAAATGTGTGAAAACATGATTTTAAATATATTCTTAGTTTTTATTCATGAAACCGTTTCCATAGATGAGGTTTAGAAAACCTTTACTGCAGCCAATCACTAGGGTGGATTCGGTTTTGCTCTGCTTTAACTTTCATGTTACGTTCGTAAGTCTGCAGCTACTATTGCCATCCTCAGCACCAAGTCATTCTGAGAGGTCTTATCTGCTTTTTCTTAAACTAGATGAACATTTTTATTAATATTTGTGTTTTGTCCCTGAATCAGCCTGACCTACCTGTAGTTATAAATCTTTCCTGACCTTTACATCTTTACACAGCCTGCTGTTTGAGTCATCGAAGCTCCAAAAACATTAAACGTTCATCAGGGCTCACTCATGACCAGAATTTCCTCACAGCTCAGCTAAACGTCTCTAGTCAAGGCCTTTTTTCATCATGTTTTATTGCATGACCTTGTGGATCTGTAATCTGACATCTTTAAATCTGTCCCACAGAAGCGGCGCTGCACAGCCTTCTGGGAGCACTCACCAATGAGACGTACAGCGACCCGACCCAGCACCTGGAGCGGGAGCAGGCGCTGGCCAAGCAGTTCGCAGAGATCCTGCACTTCACTCTGCGCTTTGACGAGCTTAAAGTACGTCTGCATCTCTAACAACTCTGGAGCCATTAGTCCTCCAATGAGCTCTCCATGCACTTGCATTGATTTTTGCTCCGCACAGATCCGAATCCCGGCTCTGCTCTGCTGTTGATAATACACAGGACGACGTCTACAGAATGGTTAATGAGGCTAATATGAACGTTTAAATCCTGAGCTTAGCTTCCGATCGTGGCAGCTTTTATAAATAAGCCAGGCAGGAAATGAGGAGAACTCCAGTCTGGCTTGAATTCAAACCTCAAACTGCTAATGAAATGCTGTTGGAGATATCACACATTAGGCGTGGGTGTCGCTCAAAAAAAAAAAAAAAAAAACAGTGAGCACCCAAAGACCGCGGCTGAGCTCGCCGTGTCTTCACTTTGAGACTCAAACCTCAGCTCCCTGAGGGGATTTACAGCGACACCCCAATTAGTACCCACTGCCCATCCTGGCAAGATGAAACATGAAGGCATGGGGGTGCGAGGTGGCATGCCAGGCCTATTCATCAATCCTTCACACTTGTGCACAGGCGTCTGACCCTGTGTGTGTGCGTGTGTGTGTGTGTGTGTTCTGCAGCCCCCTCCCTGCAGAAGCAGGCCATCTTCACTGGTGGACACAAAGATGGATACCATTCCCATTGTAGCAGGATTAACATGCTGCAGGAACAAGGATAATTAGCTACATAATGAGCTCTCACTGGTAGCGCTGGTTTTAAACGCAGCCTTCTTATTGGTCGTTCTGCCTTCCTCGAGGTCAGAGCCAGATCAGTCATTTTTCTTACACTTGTGGGTTTTTATTTGAAGCTTTTACTGTAAATAGTCTGAGTTAAGCTACGTTTCCTAATGAGAGCATTTATCTGGGGGGGAAATGGAGGGAAACTCCAAACATTTGACGGGAAGAGTGAGGATGTAACAAGGGTAAGTCAGAGTCAGGCAATTTCATTTCAGCCCAGCAAATAAAACTGTAATTGTATCGGTGCTCTTTTTCTGTCATTCCTCAGCAAAGCTGCGTTTCTGCTTAGCCGGCTAAATCGTTGTGTCACCACAGCGACGAGCTTGATCCTCGACGCCCCGCTGCAGGGCGTGCCACCTCCAGACAACTCTTTCTTATGTGCCGTTTTATTTCCTCCTTTCACAGATGACAAATCCTGCCATTCAGAACGACTTCAGCTACTACAGGAGAACGCTGAGTCGGATGCGGATCAATAACGTACCGGTGAGAACATTTATCCCCGAGTCCTCATCATCTGTCTACATTTTTGTTTTACAGCTCTAAAGCAAGTGGCCAAACACGTATATACACGCAGGAGAACACCGTGAGGTGCTTAGCTGCTTAAAGATTTATATTCAACCTTTAAAAAGTGATCTTAAGAGCGTGCTTTGGGATCAGGTTCTTCCAGAGAGGTGAAACGGCTCCCAGAGTGATTGATAGTGATGTTCAGTCGACTGAATGTGTAAATAAGTAACCATTCACACCTAAAGCTATAAAGATGCAGCAAAAATGATTCAGAACTAGATGTTTTATTGATATTTTTTGTTTTCTTTGTTAAGAGCAGTTTGAGAGGATGGAAGGTAAAAGCTCAAAAGCATCATTCAAATCTGAAAGATGCAGAAATGTTTTATTCTAAAGCTGCACAATATATCAAAATATCACCATATCGACTAGGGATGTGTATCTGTGAAATTCTGGCGATACGATACATATCATGATACAGGGGAGACGATACAATATATCATGATATATTGCCATAACAATATTTTCTTACATCCCTAATATCGACATATTGCCACAGCTCCCAATAAATTATGCTCAGGCATGGAGAAAATAAGTTATAGAGGGTGGTTTGTATTTTGATAACAAAAGACAAAAATGTCCTCAAAATATTCTAATATACCATGTTTACCTAAATCATACAGCTCCATCAGCATGTTAATGCAGAGCAATTAGCCTCAAGTATGTAAATACCTGAGTGATTCTTCAATATGCGAGTGAAGTAATATCATACTGATTTAATGTTTTAGGGTTTTCTGCTCTGCTCTACGTGCCGACTGCCATGTCTCGCTGGGACTTTTAATGTGCAAAGCTGCTATTAATGGAGGTTTTTTTATTTTTTTGCAAAGACAGTCGATAAATCTGCTGTGTCCCATTTCTGTCTGATCTTCTCTACACTGAGTTACATCCAGGTGCACATTTAGTCTATTTATAAGTCCTTAGTGACATCTGAGAAAATAATGATTTTCCTGCTTGTGTTTGTGTCAAGTCATGTTTATTTATTTAAATCGCGTTTAGAAGAACTGCTGCAGACCCTAAATGAATTAAAATAATGCTTAATTAAAAAAAATTACCCTAATATAATTATATAAAAGCTCTTTTTTGCCATTTCGAAGTGTTTTTTTTAGTAAAGGTAATAAATGCACCCTACATGCCTCAATTATGCTCTACAGGATCGATAAGCTAACTAGGGCTGCAACAAACGATTATTTGGTTAATCGATTAATCGGATGGGGTCTCGACATGATTAATCGATTAATCGGATTACATGGGGACATTGTTAAAAACTGCTAGGGAAACGTTATTTCTCTCCTTCCTTCACTTTATTAAACACAACATTATTAGAAAACTGTTCAATAGCAGAAAAACAACATGCCATCACCTAAATTGTCTTATAAGGTGTATAGACAGAGACCTTAAGCTACACCTATCTGTGATCTAAAATGCTTGGTCCAAGTTAAACAGCTTAAAGAGCAAGTCAACCCCTACCAGAGTCTAACTCCACTCCCACTTCATGTTTGAAAAATGCAACACATGCTGTTGCCTGGCAGACCGAGAGGGCGGAGCCGCTAACAAATACACACACACTCAGGCTCACGACAGCATTGTGACATCATAATGTACCAGTTTACATCATAGCATACTTCTTAGCCAATAGCGGTGGCAGATTTAAATTAAAATACAGTGCAGAGTTTTTACCTAACAACGGCACAACACTGTCAGTTTTAGGCAGAATATTTAAATTTTAACTAAGATGCACTGAAGTGCCAAATTATTGACGACACGTGTCTGCAGCACGATTAGACACTGGTTTATTTAGTTTATCAGCAAAAAAAAAAAAACGTTTATTTGGGGGTGACTTGCTCTTTAAGGGCAATTCTCATCTGTTTTGTTTGATCTCATCTGTAGACATTTATTATAATTGGGGATGTCAAACAACTAATTTTTAAATGTAATTAAACATAGGCTGTGAATTAATCAAAATTAATCACTATTTCCAAAAATGACTGAAAAAATACCAAATAAAACAAAAATAAATGAATGCCATCCTCCTTGTGATGATGCCCTGGGCAACTGCCATAAAGTCACATCAAGAGATGCTGATCATTCCAATGATCCCAAATAGACTCACATTAGGCCACATGAAAGCAACTGAACCCAAAAATATATTAACCAGTATATAACTGCACTCTCACACAACACGCCTGCAGCACCCCCCTCCCTTTTAAAAGTGTTTTCGCTTCCGAGGACATTGTGGTTGTAAAACCACATGCTAGTAGTCTGGCCCCGGTGTGATCAACCACTTTCTGCGGGAATGTGACGGCGGGAACCGGTTCGCAGCAGTGCGAGCCCCCCCCATTTATCTAATAGCGTCACGCTTACGATTTTATAGACTTTTTTTTTACGAGCTTAGGGCATGTCTAGCCTGTGTAATAATCCGGGGCTTGGATTTTGAAAAGTTTTTAACTTACCCGGACACAGAGCTCTCTCCTTCCTCGCTGATGATTCCGACATGCGTTTAAGATGCTGCATCATCACTTTAGTACTCCCGTGCCATGCTAAGTCTGACCTACAAACATTGCAGGTAACGAATGTCGTCGCCTGATTTAACTGAAAATGCTCCCAAACTTTAGAAGTTTTTACTTTTTTGGGTCTCGCTGCTTCTGCCATGTTCCTCTTCCAAACACCTGCCGGCTCTCCCTCGCGCTGATCTAACTTGCTCCGGTCTGCTCTCAACGGCGGGCAGGAAGGGGGGGGGGGGCTTTTGGAAGAGTTGTGTGACACAACGAATCGATGGCGCAATTCGTTGCCAACGCTTTTAGTAATCAATTTTCATCGAATTTATCGATTCGTTGTTGCAGCCCTAAAGCTAACAGCTAGTCCTCAGCCAACACCTACGTGCTTTTTTGCCATCTTTAAATGAATGCAATCAAAACAATGACATTTCATGTTATGAAACTTTAGCCACCACCAAATTTGCAGTGGTTATTTTTGGAATTGCATTCAGACAATCCTGCTGGAGACACAGATAAGAAGAAGAAGAAGAAGAAAATATCATTTCTATAGCGCCTCAAGATAAAAATCACAAAAAAAATGTAAAAATAAAAAAAGAATTTAGAAAATGGTTAAAAATGTATTTAAAATGAGCAAAAAATAGACAAGTGTGATTAAAAATGTTAAGAAAGAGAGAGAGTGAATAGGAAAGAGGGAAATCAGTGGATCCTGAGAAAGGTGGAATAGGTGGGGAGAGCAGAATAAAGAGAGAGTGGTGAAGAAGGTCACACAAAAGCCAACCTGAACAGGTGAGTCTTCAGCTGCTTTTTGAAGGAGTTCACTGAGTCCACTGATCTCAGGCTCAGGGGGAGAGAGTTCCAGAGTCTGGGGGACACAGCAGCAAATGATCTGTCACCTTTGGTCTTCTTAGACCAGAAATAGAAAATCCAGGTTTTTAGAGAGAATTGGATCATTGGGCAGGAAGGACTTATTGTTAACAGAGCGGGTGTTTAATAGAGCCATGCTGAGTGAGGTGGAGGAATCAGAAACTACAGAAACAGCTGGAGTTAGTGGACGTAAATTAGCAGGGTTAGATCCACTGTGTTTATAAAAACCAGTCATGGAGGGAACAGCCGGAGAAACCACTGAAGAATGAGGATAAACCGACCTTAAAAAACTAGGACAGAGAAACCGCACCGCAACGCGGCCTGGCGGGAATGCGGAAGTGGTGCTTAGGTCGCCAAACAAAGGACAAGAAGCTAGAAGATCATGCCGTTGTTTACTAGATAAACCATGCTTTAAGAGAAGTCTTATTCTCACCTGGATTCCTGCTCGTTTACATCTTTTTCCTCCGACGTTTTCCCGTGACCGGATAAACATCGCTGGAGGCGTCCTGGTAGGAGTCATTTGGCTCCGGGCCAGCACGCCGATCAGGTAAACAGGAAGGTACGTCCTCAGTGCATCTTGGGCGATCGTGAATGAACGGAAGGACAAAAGAGTCTGGCGATCATAGGAGATGGTAGCAGGGACACTACCAAAGAGGATCGCAGACAGGAGCAAGGTGGAAAAGAGGAGTTTAGTGGAGAAAAGTTTGGAAAAAGTGGCTGTGACTGCGGCTAAGCCAAGCACAGGCGCCATCTTGTTACTGACCGCCGGTACATGTTGCTAGTGGTGGTGGTTATACTTGTAAATAAATTGATTAATCAGTGTATAAAGGCTTATAAAATAACATTTTCATGATCCACAACCAGATTTTGGAGATTAGAGCTGTTTTAAAATGGTCCAGGATGTCCTTAGACTAGCTGTTAGCTCCTCAGTCCTGTTAAATGTAAGCAAATATTGTTCAGAAAGCTACTTCCAAAGAGTAAGATAGTAATATTTATAGGTTTCATGGAGAAATAAACCCATCAAAATATCCCTTTAATTGATATTTCTGAAAAACAGTTATGCATTTATGACTTGAGTTGCCATTTATTATTAAAACAGTTTTATTTTGGCTTAAATATTCACTTTAAATTGAATAATGTTTACATCTGTTTAAATCTGTTAAAGTTTAAGTCAATGTTGATTTCCCAAAAAGGCTGAATAATTTTCAGATCCACACAAGAATCTTTGTATATGCATCCAGAAGTCATTGCTTTAGTTTTATCAGCTTTAAAATTGTGCAAATTTAGTTTTATTCTTGCAGATATTGCTGTCCGAAGTTAAATGTGGAATGGTGTATAATCTGCATAAACATGTTTCCTCAAGGTTGAGCCATGAAGAGAAACGTGTAAAGAAAGAAATGTTATTGACCCAAATATAAAACCCTGAGGAACACCATGAGAGAGCTAGAATTCATTTTGGGAAAAGTGCCCTAAAGTTCAATTTTTTTTATCCAACCAATGCATCTAAAATATAAAGGGATCCATTTAGGGGCTATTCGAAAATGGACTTGCTCACTCATTTGATATTTATGAACATATTCAGTCTCTTATCATTTATGCTGAACTGTAGATTAGCTCAGCTGATCGTAACTGCTCGGTGCTGGCAGGAGTTTAATGTCATGAACGGAGACTGCTTTCTGTTTTGACCTGTCTGACAGAAGGTGTTCTTTCCTCTTCAATCCAGAATTTTCCATTAGGCAAATGGGCCCAGACAAGTTAGAATTCATCACTGCTGCTGCCCCCCCCCCCCCCCCCCCAAGTCGCCCCTCAGAGGACTGAATCATTCAGACGTCTGAGATGAAACACTTCCGTCCCGCTCAAACAGTCTTTGAGCACATCTGTCATCGTTCGTTAAGAGCAGAATTGGTTTGAAAGTTTGGGGCGATTTATTCACATCAGAGCTCTCACGACGGCAGGAAGTGTTCTTGTTGTTTTTTAAATATGTAGACAAATTTAGAACAGGCTGTTCAGAGACGCCTCGTTCTCTGCTATCTGCCAGGTGTTTTTGGTGTCTGAACGTAGAAAGCAGCAGGACGGGTTAGTCAGCTGGGAATGGGGGGTGGGGTACTCGGTCATACGGTTCATATCAGTGTTTTCCTGACATTTAATCAGAACAAATATCTTTTCATGTGCAGATATTGTTTTGTTTTCTTTTAACAGAAAAGATTTTCAACAAAACACTTTACAGCAACCTCCACATGTACAGTAAGAATAGAAGAGTTGCATCCCCTCGAATTTCTTAATCTGCTCATTTTGATTCAGTAGCACCTTTGTTTTATTACTCTGACATTTTTCATTCAAATTTCCTCTGATTGTGTCATTTTCTCATGGCGGCTGCTCTGATAACATTTTTTCCACTTTTGTACGGAGGTCAGCTAAAGGTCGTTTTATGAATTTTACATTAATGTCAGAAAACCAGAACAATGGGCAAAAACTCTACAGGTGAGCGAGGATCTGACTTCAGCAATAAACCAAAATGGGATCTTTTTTTATGATTTCTAGGCAGAGGGTGAGAATGAAGTCAACAACGAGCTGGCCAATCGGATATCTCTTTTCTACGCTGACGCTACTCCCATGCTGAAGACGTTAAGTGACGGCACAACGAAGTTTGTATCAGAGGTGAGACTTTAGTATATTCAGCGGGGCATTTACGGAGAAGAGCAGCAACTAAACGAATCGGCTAAAAATTATTATCTGAGGTGTATTTTTATGCTTTAATCAGAATTTTAAAAAATTTAACACGGATGGGCGAGACTTATACTGCAGCCAGCCACTAGGGGGCCATTTAGGTTATGTTATAGTTATTATTTGTATTGAAAAACCTGCAAAAAACTGATGTTTTGTTATTCAACTGATCAGAAAAATACTAAATATAAATGTCAACATGAATTTTTAAATCAAGCCTGGTGCAATTTTTACTGATTTACTAATAAACATTTTAGACAAAAAAAATAAAACAACATATTTGAGTAAAATCAGCTGTCAGACAGGAGGTTTTTGTACGTCGGCTAATGATTTGTAAATTATTTAATTGGTAAAGATAAAATTAAATAGTTAAATCTAAAGGGAACCATTAAACATTTCTGCAACATAATAGTTGTAAATATCCAGATTTCCCAAAAAGACTAAAAGGTTAATCTTGTATCGGTTAAAATGTCCCATGAGTCTTGCAAAAGTAGGCATGGGATGACAACAAATTTTGCTGGACGATATATTGTCCTGCAAATCATTGATGATAAACGTTATTTTTGTCGACATTATCGAGACCAAAATAACCACTTATGCAATGTTAATATATCATAATGATGCAAGTACACCCTTTAAAATGCAACAATTAAACTTTTATTTAACACTGGGATGCCACCAACCAGAACTTCTAAATGAATAAATAAAACAAATGACAACAAAAAATAAAAACACAATAAAAAAAACTTTGATGTATTCAGGCTGGAAAAATTGAGTTCATTTTCGCCTATCGTACAATTAATTGGTTTATTGATTATCATCCCAACCCTATGCTAAAGTGATGTTCTTTTGCAGGAATTATGAATACAGATCTATTAAATGAGAGCTGGAATGAATAAAAGACTAAAGCAGCATTAAATATTATTTGTGTTGCTGTAAGAAATGAAAATAACTTGATTTAAATTAACTTAATTTAACTATTTTATTTATTATTTCTGAATGTTTTTATTTTTTTCCTCTTACAGAATAAAACGCTGCCCATCGAAAACACGACAGACTGCTTAAGCACAATGGCGAGTGTGTGTAAAGTCATGTTGGAAACGCCGTAAGTCACTTCCTGTCTACTCCCCATCTTCCTCTGGAATCTTTTCTAATCGCTCTTTTGTACCATCAGGGAATATCGCAGCCGATTCACCAGTGAGGAGACGGTTTCCTTCTGCCTCAGGGTGATGGTCGGAGTCATCATCTTATACGACTACGTCCACCCGGTTGGAGCGTTTGCCAAGTCGTCGAAAATCGACGTGAGTACAGTTCACGCTCTGATGCTGCTCACGGATTCTTCAGCTAATAATCTGGTTCTGATCCGCAGATGAAAGGCTGCATCAAAGTCCTCAAAGATCAGCCACAGAACAGCGTAGAAGGCCTTCTCAACGCTCTCAGGTGAGCCGATGATGTCGTGATTAATTCTACCATTTGTTTTTGCCGGTAGTTTTGCTTTTATGTCTCTCCGGCGCCCCGACTCGCTCCAGCTTGGTGTCAAAGACAGCACAGAGAAGTCATTTGACGTCTCATCCCTCAGTCTAAATAAGATCTCCCTCGTGTCCTCGCGCTCGGCGTCTCCGGAGCAGACAAGGTCATTTTCTGAGCCAGCCAGAGGCCGGATGCCACTTCCTGTCTTCAAATCACTTCCATACAAAAACAGATTTGTCATCAGAGTTCTGAAAGAGAACGACAGGATGTAGAAGATGCATGAAAATACAGCATTTATGCTTAAAAACATGTTTTATTAACTATTAACACCACTTTGTCTTAATTTAAGTTAAGCACCTTAAAGCTTTAACCCTCGTTGTTTAAATGTGTACATATCTGTATTTAAGTCCGCTGCACCAGATGTTTAAATCCTTTTAGGTATTTCTGAGGAAACTTGGAGTGAATACCGAGTTAAATCTCCTAAAACATGGCCCTGATATTCCCAAACCGACACCCAGACAGATCTTTGTTGTTCTTTCTGTTTCTCTTTTCAGTTTCCGTTGTTTTTTTCTTGTTAAATACTCAGCATAGCAACATTTTTTACCTTAATCTGCTGACAGTCGCCTTTTTCAGAGCCCCTCCCCCCAGGTGTTGATGGCATAACTTCTGCTGTTTATCTGCGGGCAATAGGGAACGATGTCGCCCTCTACTGCCCGCACCTTCCTGACCGATCGCCACGTCCCATGAGAGATCCAGCGTGTAAACTCCTTTCATCCCTATTCATGGTCCAGGATCCACATCTCCTTTTAAAAGAAGTGATCATCATCATCAGCATCGTTTTATTTATAAACGGCTAAGGCAGACCAAAGTGCTGTACACTGGAGTTAGGGTGGAACAAATAAAACCAAAACGCACGAGTCAGAAGTAATAAAAGTAGCACAGTAACAACTATAAAATCAACAATAAAGTAAAACGAGTGCATAGTAAGAAGCCGACTAGGCAGAAATAAAAACCAAAGGATAGAAATGAGCCTTCAGGCATGATTTAAAAACGGAGAGAGAGGGGGCCGTTCTCTCTGCCAGAGGAAGTTGGTTCCAGTGACGAGGCGCACAGATTAAAAACGCGCGTTCCCCTCGTGTCCTCACCCGAACCCTTGTGACCTGTAACAGGCAGTGGCCTGCTGACCAAAGAGCCCGACCTGGTAGGTAAGGGTGAACCAGCTGGGTTAAGTACAGAGGTGCATAAAGATAAAGGGATTTAAAAACAAAAAAGTGAAATTTTAAATTGGAAGCGGTAGTGCACCGGTAGCCAGTGCAGCCGGGCCAGAATGGGAGTAATATGCTCCCTCCGTCTGGTATATGTCAAGAGGCGGGCTGCCGTCTTCTGCACCAGCTGGAGGCGCACAGCTGAGGAAGAGGTAGATCCATGAAATAAGGAATTAGCATAATCCAGGTGAGGGATCACAAATGCGTGGATTACTGCGTGCAGGTCACGTCTATTCAGGATGGACTTCATCTTTGATAGCCGGCGAAGCTGGAAGGAGGATCTAACCATCTGGCTAATGTGAGTCATCTCATTAGACCAGGGGTCGGCAACCTGTTCCCATCAAAGAGCCATTATTACCCGTTTCCCACAGTAAAGAAAACACTGGGAGCCACAGCAGCCGCGAGACAGCAGAGAGCTGCTTTAACCAATCACAACAGGTGACAGCAGCCAGTACCGGTCGCTCTTGTACGTCAATTATCTTTCATAAGACGATAATCAATAAAACAATTTATATAAAATGGATCCAGAAGTTGTAGCCCGTCTCTGCCTACAATATTTTGATATTTTTCACCCTGTTGGTGGTTTTACTGAGCAGGTGCCACTTTTGTCATACGTTTCTTTTTAAAACATGTTTAGACTGTTCAGAATCCAAATCCAGGCTCTGTCACGTTTGATTGTTGTAATTAAACTTTGTAGGTGGGGAAGGTCAGAAAAGGATCCGATCATTTTGTTTTTCCCTCATTTACAGTGACGGATATATGGCTCTGGTGTTAATCAAGTTAAATTTGATCTCTTTGCGACAATTTTCACAAGAAAACAGAACAGTTAAAGCAGGGCTTGTGTTGACCGGACAGTTCCCGTATTTGACCGTTTATTTTGACGGAGAAAGAATGGAAAGAATTACCCCAACGCATGCAGACGAACTGACATTTTATTCGTTACGCACATCGTAGATGTAGCTAAATCACTCAAGAAAAGATTCTTATCTGAGCTGGACACTGCTCAGCGCAGCTCACTGTCAGCATGTACTAAATAAGGTCCACAGCAAGCTGAAGATGTGGAGAGGGGCTTGGAGCGCGTCGCAGAACCAGAGTGCATGCGGGAAGATTCCTCCGACTGAAGCGAGACTTGTCACAGAAAATGTTCCCTGATTATGAAACTTTGGCTGAATAGCGCTTGTTCATATCTCCAATGTGGCGACACATCCAGGAGCCATCTGAGGAGAATCCCAGAATCTCACATCCTCTTCAGCTCAGAAAGCGCCGATATGATTACGCACAAGGGTGACGCGTCAACCCGGTCTCACAGTAAGACCGGGTTGGAACTGTTCAGGTTTACGCAGACAATCTTTACATTTAGAATTGGCATACAGATGTAAAATTAATGCAGTAAAATATAAAGCATTTTATTTAAATATCCATTCATTATTTTACAAGCACAGAGAGCCGCATCAGATGGATGGAAGAGCCGCGGGTTGCCGACCCCCGCATTAGACGGTCCAAAACTACCCCAAGGCTAGTGTTGGTCGGCTTCACTAAGTTGGCAAAACAGGGAGTTGGGGCAGGGCTAACCACAGTGGGAGAGGGAGGGTCAAAATAGATCAAGATAAGGAGATGTGGCTCCTGGACCATGAATAGGGATGAAGGAGTTTATATGCTGGATCTTTCATGGGACGTGGTGATCGGCCAGGAGGACATGGGCAGTAGATGGCGACATCATCCCCTTCTGCCCGCGGGTAAACACGGAAGTAACACCAACGAGGCTCTAAAGTTGGAGACTGTGTGATACCAAAACTGTTTACAGTTAAGTTAAAAAAAAGCTTAGCGACCCAGACCCTTTGTGTTTGGATCTTAACCCAAAAAGAGGACTTTTCCTGGGGAAAATCGAAGTAGAGCCACTGCTCCTCCTCATCAGAGTCGTGAGGTGGTTCAGGCATCTGTTGACTAGTATCCATCCTCAGGAGGATTTCCTGCCTGATGCCACTGTTCTTCTGGTGTTATTAAAATATAGATATGTGATTGTTCTCCTGCAGGTACACAACCAAACATCTGAATGACGAATCAACCAACAAGACTATCAAGAGCATGCTGCAGTAGGAACAAGCTGTAGCCACTGCTGGGGGAAACGCCACTCGCTGTCCTGACGGATTTAGCTGCACAGAATGTTCATTTTTGTTCTGTTGATCATTCTTTCATGAAAAAAGAGCTTGGCTCCGCCCACTTTTATAATGCGAATGCTACTGCCACGATGATGTCTTTTGCTGTGCCAAACGGTTGGCGCTGAGATGTGAGACGCTGGTGTTTTTAAACATTTTATGTTTTTCCCTGTTTAAGGGACGGGAGTGCTTTGACTTGAAAATTTCAGAGATATATAGAGAAGTATATATTATTTTTTGTTTGATTGGTTATTTAATTACATCTTCTGCATGATGAAAATGTCCCTTTCTTTCTATTTAATAAAGTAATTGTCTAATTTGTTTGCTCTGCTGTGTATTCTCAGATATTATGTTATTGAAATGGTACTTGACAGATTTAGAGTACTGTTTTTATATATTTTTTAAAGTTTTAATTTGTGCATATGTTTTCTTTTCATCGTTGTATTTTTCAGTTGAGAACTAAACTGTGATGTGAGGAGAATCAAAATGAAATCTGGAGTCTGTGCAGTAAATGTACAACCCTGACGTGGCTGGAGTGATTAAAAGGAGAATTTTTGTTTTCTAAAAAAAAAAACTCGTCCTAATTTTTAATCGCCTTCCCGGCTTCTGGAGCTGCTTTTCTTCACTTTCTCGTTTGAAAGGTGTGAGTTTTCTCATGTTTGAGCACCAAGCTGGCAGTGAGGAATCAATTCGGATCAGTTCCCCTGACTGGATGAACACAAACGGTTGCTTTTCTTAGAAATGAGACCAGCTTTCATTCTTGTGTTATAAACCACAACAGTTGGCACAAAGTTGGGAGCAGTGACTCAACCAGGAAACACTCAGAGGGATATTTGTTTCAACCGAGGGCCCCCCCAATAGGAGGGCATTGGAGTTTAGAAGCTAAATACGTGTCCCTCAATATCAATAAACATCATCATGCTGCACCCGCTATAAAACCTTGGCTACAAGACCATGCAAACCTTTTTTAAAATGCTCCAGACGCATCTAAAACTATGAGGGATCAGAGATCCCTCTTCATGTGTGAGTGTTTTTGGCTTATTTTCTGTCTCTGATGTAGCTAAAAATCCAATTTTACACACATTTTGAAGTTAAGGCCCTACTGTATGTCCCAACACTACACATAAAATTTACAGAGGCCAGAGAACAACAAAAGCAGTAATGGCTTTATCCGAGCAGATCTCCTAAAAGTTTCTTACCCAGAATTTCTAATCATTTACTGTTAGCCCTACCTCTTAGTTCACGCTCAAAACCATTTAGGAGGAAAACGAAGCCATTTTGACTAAAAATAAAAAAGGCTCAGAACTCCAACATCCAGCAAAACTTCACTTCTTCTGGTTTGCGTATGTCAGTGTGATGAGTCTGAGCTGTCAATCTAATTTAGGTGAGTAACTTCATCCTTTTGGTCCCAATGATACAAAAAAAAGTGTCAATCATCAGAAATAACCAATCAGCCACAGAGATGGAAGGCTGCGTAGTGTAGCTTCTGGAATAGCTGCAGCCTGTGCCAGCAGCACTTCAAATCAACTTTATTTTCCTGTTTTCTATAGAAATACAAAAAGGCATTTTTAGAATGCATGTCTATTGTTCCTATCTCTGCCTCGTTATTTTTAATAAAAACAAATAGCTTTTGGGACAAATATTCTTGACTAAATAAAATGTGATTAGTGTATATATATATATATGTATGTATATATATAAATTAGTTTATACAGTTTCCTTTGGTGTGATGTTTGATATTGGCTTATTTACCGATATTGGCTAACTCTTAATTTCTGATACCAATAAATACCCTCATAAATCAAAGAGATAAATACTTTTAGGTGGCTAACATCACATTAACTAGCCTTCTTCCATTTAATTTAGTTATACCAAACAAGCAAAAAATATCTCGAAACTAAACCTCAGCTCTGTCATTTTGACATTTTGAGTGAGTTTTATTTAAAATAAGATCATGGTATAAAAATGTTATTAAGAGTCAAAAATGATGCCAATAATGACAGATTTTACAATTTTATGCATATATATATATATATATATATATATATATATATATATATATATATATATATATATATATATGTGTGTGTGTGTGTGTGTGTGTGTATCAGAAATCCCTAAACATGAACCTTTGGTCTTGAAAATAAACATCTCTTTTATGTAAAAATAATCATGTACCTAAAAGTTTTCACTCACACTAGGAAAGGTTTTAATTTGAGATAATAACAAATTCCTTCTTTGATTATCTGTTAGTAAAGGTAAAGACTGATTATCTAACCTGATGGAAACATTCATGCCTGAAAAATTCTATTGTTTCCTAAATAAAAATCTTCTGATGTACTACTATTGATGTATTTTTCACAGCTTTACTGCTCTACATCACAAGTACTACACTGAAATGAAAGTTGCCTATCTGCTTTTATAAAACATCATCTTTGCCTGATGCAAACCCATTTCCAATCCTTTTTCCACCATCCCCTTGTGATTCCCTCCTCCCTAAGTCTAATATATTTAATGGCTCATTAAGAAACAATTACATGATGTCAGTGTCAAGTGCTTGCCTCTCTTTTCATAAAAAAACTGCCTTTTAGGATCCATTATCCCTTCTCTGTGCATGCTTTGAGGAAAAATAGAGGCCAGTCTGCATGATCACTGCAGCACCCTCATCCATGCAACTTCTCGGGGTTAGAGTGAGGCAGCAGAGTGGATGGGTGTGTCCTCTGCAGCATCTCTGCACAAATACACAGGAGTCAGGAAACAAGAGGAGGGAGAATCTGGGGTGTGGTTGTAAATCTTTTAGGAGACAATTGTGAAAAGAAATAACGAAAGAAGCCATGCATCGGTTTAATGAATGATTGCAGCTCAGTCCTGATGGTTCTGACCCTCATCAGGACTTGATTTGCAGCAGTGACCTTGTTCTGCACCAGCGGATGTCCCAGTTTGACCCTCACTACAGAAGCTCTCGCTCATCCCGCATCGTCGCCGGCTGCAGGCAGAGAGGGCGGCTTTGCTCTTCAGATGAATGAACCGTCTCTGTCAGAGGGGGAAGAGCTGATGTCTTTGATCTAACTTCAACCTTTTCTTTAAGATTCATCAAAGCAGAAAATGATTCTAATAGTATGGAGGCGTGACGGGAGCCAGAGAACAAACTGATGAAGTTGCTTTAACATTGACAACACGGTCAGGACTCATAAATATTTTAGCTGAACAAGGTGCACTCTGTTTTTTTTTTGTCTTTTTATCTTTGAGAAATAATATTCAATACCCAAAATAAAGACATGTTTGGTTTTTATAATATAAATGTATCACAGTGCAACTAAAACCTCAAGAAGCTAACTGGTTCAAAAAATAATAAAGGTTCGGATCTTTACAATGAATTGCTAAACTTTGTGTATTTTGCACCACCTGATATATGTCTGGTGTTGTTCAGGGGTAAAGCTGGCTCTAAATTCTGAAACCCATTTATTTATATTACACACTCTGCAAAAATGCTTTGTTTCCACAGATTCCACAGATTTAAATCATTCCTAGCAAAAACTGAACAATGTTTTACTGTTGGTGAGAAAGAATTAATCATTAAAATGAATACAGGTGTACCACAAGGCAGACTGCTCAGTCCTCTTTCAAGATTTTAGATTAATTATTACCTAATTCACGTCCTGGTGCAGATTTGCAGATGTATGCTGATGATGCAAGTGTTTTCTGTACTTTGGACTGATACATAAAAGTGCATCACATCAGTCTCGACCCTGACAAGCTTTTATTTAGAGGGTTTGAAGTGTCGTCATGTCTTTACCTTGAATACTTCAAAATAAAAAGATGACCATTTGTTTTTCCAAGCACCTGATCTTTGATCACTTAATTTATGTGAGAACTGATGTTGCTTTAAAATTGCAGTTTTTAAACTCCCAACCCTGCATAATGTGACGGATGCTGAAATGTACGGTGCTTTGTCGTCTCCTACAAAGCACTGTAAAATATGTACATTTTTTGGTCATTAAAAGCTGCTTTTTACATCGCACAGCTGCTCTCCCCGTCCCAAATCGATAAAATGACTGCACACTTTTATGGAAAAAAATGTCATCAATGTTATTAATTTCCTTGGAAGCCTTTTTGCGCTGATCAATACCGTCATTCACCACCAGAATTGTCATAATATGTTGAGGTCACATGGAACAAGCCATCATATTTTCTCCATCATCTTCCCCTCTCCCAGAACTCCCACAGTGGAAACATAGTAAATACCACTATACACTGTAAAGGCCCATCAAAAACTATAAAAGAACTCCAAAAGTCTGGAAATCTACTCAAGACCACTTCAAATGAAATCCAAAGGCAAGTACATCAGGGGTGTTCCAGGACTCATCCTGTAAGCTCTAACACAGGAACACACTGTAGAGAGGAATCCAGAGGAAGGGAATTATGTTGTTGGTCACACCTCATACAAATCGTTCTGGTTGACCCCGGTCACTTTGAGGATGGTTGTAACTTTGCAGTTTCTAGCGTCAAAACTTGCAAAATGTACATTAGGAAGAGAGCCGTGCAACCTCTTTTTATTTTGTTCTAGACACCTAGAATTGCTCGTCACGTTGAGGCTAATATGTGCCAGAGTGAACTCGCACAACTGTCAGTTATTTCCAAGTAGAGACATTCTTGTTTTATTCCAGTGAATCCCCCCAGCAGCCTGAGAACGCGATCTGTCCATAAACCACAAGACCCCTAACACATTGCTCATCTGTCTCTTGGGTGAGACAAGTTCACTTTTCTGAGAATGACAACGGCTATCCTCTGAGACCACCCGCCACCATACCCCCCCCCGCACACACACACACACACACACACACACACACACACACACACACACACACACACACACACACACACACACACACACAGAGTCACAGATGCTGAGCCCCTCTTCCAAATCCCACTTCCTCCTGTACGTTGTCCTAATCGGGGGAGTCTTAGTTAATCAGTCGTGTCAAAACATCAACGGTTCACTGAGGATTGTGTTTCATGCCAGCGAAACTCAACCAAGAGGTGCTGTAATCTCGGTCCGTTGCGCAGAAAGAGATATTTGCTCGGTGCTTTTATCAGGAACTAAGAGTCAGTGAAAGTGTTGCTTCACTTTGGTAAAAAAAAAAAAAAAAAAGGTACACAAGTTCCTCTAACATGTTCTGAGAAAAAGTAAATGTTTTGAAGCATTTTAGAAAGCTTTAATAACCTCCGGTAGTTTTGATTTGCAAAAAGTGAAAGAAATTATCAAGAAGTAAATGTTTTACCGGTGAAATTTATTAAGAGTTGATTTGCCTAATGCAGTT